TAAAAATCAAGATATTTAGTAAATTTCCTACTGTAAATATATCAAAACTTAATTTTTAATTAGTAATATGCATTGCTAAGGACTTCATTTGGACAACTTTAAAGGTGATTTTCTCAATATTTAGATTTTTTTTGCACTCTCAGATTCTAGATTTTCAAATAGTTGTATCTCGGCCAAATATTGTCCTATCCTAACACACCATACATCAGTGGAAAGCTTATTTATTCATCTTTCAGACGTTGTATATATCTCAATTTCGAAAAATTTACACTTAAGACTGGTTTTGTGCTCCAGGGTCACATTTTACCACAAAAACATGTTGTCAATAGAGCTTAAGTTATGTTAGACTTGTACATACTGTATAGAACAGAAAATGAATACAGTATATGTGGCAAACTGCTTCATTAACACTATAGAATGAGGTGAGAAACACGAAAGAGCAAGTGAGAAGAAACACACAAAAGAGGCTATTGATGTTCCTTGAAACATTCATACTAATGAGGTGCTGTGAAAACGGGGCTCGATTGATGAAATATCAATGCTCTGGATATCTAGAGAGACAGAGCGAGAGGTACAGGAAAGTGCACTTCCCCTCTAGCCTTCATAAATTCTCCAGTCGTCCTCAAGGAGGACAGACCGTTTGAGCACTAATGCAGGTGTTTGAGTGAGCTGAGCGCAGACAGACGGGCCGCTCTTTGATCTGATGCTGTCTCTCATTTTAATGGGGCTGAGCTTTAGTCTTTCTGTAATCCAATCCCTCATTTCTGCCCCATTACAGCTCCTCATCTCTCAGTCCATCCCTCACTCTGCCTCCTGTGTTTCTCCTCATTTTCTCATTTACTCTTTCATGCCACCTCTCAAACACCACTCACCCTGTTATTAGAGGTAGAGCGAGTACAGATTTATTTCGTAATGACTCCCACCTGATTTAACAAGCATTTTTCAGCAGTTAGGAGCCATGCACTAAAGTAGTGTATGAAGCAGTATGCAGCAAAGTAAACATTTCAAACTGTAACTGTCACGTACATTTTAAATGTTAAGGTAAATAATAAGGTTATTTCGCTTTTTTTTTTTTGTTTTTTTTTTTTTAAATGCCGTTTTGTGTGAAAATATTTTCAATTTAAGCATCTGGCCAAATAACGAGCGAAGAAAGAGATGTCAAAGAAACCATTAAGTGAAAATTGGGGTTTTGTGGTTTTTAGTCTATGTCTATTAGTCTAAAAAACTGAGAGAAGGCCTTTTACAGGCTTTTCCTCCTGGTAAAACAGATCAGAAACAGTGCCAAAATTATATTACATTGCTTCTTGCACATTTTGCGGCACTTTCGAAGTGAAACGTCCATTGGCATTTCTCTGAAACAGATCAATGCAACAACATTTCATTATTGTGGTTGTTGGTCTACGTATCATGGCAATTAGGAAATTTAATGTCCAGTGAATTGTGCTAAAAGGTTAATAGTCATTTGGATTTGAAAATAACATAAACTAACCTAATTGTTAACAAAAGCAAATTTAAGATAAAAATGCATTTGCTGAAGCAACCATGCTGTTTTAGCTTGCTTCTACAAGCCTTTAAATTATTTTATTGTCATTCGAACCTGAGCACTCCACATTGGAGAGGTTCCAAGCAAGTTTACTAAGTCAGAAAAGCAACACATATCCAGCTGGATATGTGATGCAGATGTCAATACAGTATGTTTTAGTTTGCAAATAATGCACTACAGTAAAGGTCATAATAACATAGTATTGTGCAAAGAACTGTATAGAAATAAGTCTATATTAATCAATAACCTGGCTTTGTAATCATATTTTTGTGTGTTTTACTGCCACTTGTATTCATTTCAGTTTTGAAACTGCAGTGATAGACATGTTTTTGTAAAAATTAGAGGTAGATGAATGTGTTTCCGATGAGCCTGTTTCAAATGTGAATGTTACTCACCATTAATTATACTAATACTAGCTGTAGCAAGCGCTTAATTATCCATGTTAGGATGTTTCTAATCATCTGCTGAACTACATCTGCCTTCAATCTGATGCATAATCAGCCGGACTGCTGAAGCAGCTCTTACATTATCATGCTCCTCTCTGAACCTCTGTAATGTAGTCGTTCATTAGCAGAGTCGCCAGCGTGTCTTTAATGTGAAGAATCAGCAGCATTGATCCGCTTCTGTGAAGCAGAGAGTCCTCAGGGAGGAGTGTAGTACTGAGGAGACACCTCGCTTCAGATGGCTTCATCCTGAGTGTTTATGATGGCTCTTATGATCTCTCTCTGAGGACTCTGCTGCTTTATGATAGTAAGATCTGAAAGAGTAAAAAGTCCAGACTGAAAGAGAGAGAGGGGTTTGGCCATGATGAATGGAGATAAGGAGACAGATGTGGACTGGAAGGAAGATGTACGTATGAAGGAGTTTACTGTAGACACAGTGGAACCTTTTATTGCTCTGGGTTGTGTTTTCATCGCCCAGAAGACCTAATGGAGGTCTCAGTTATCTTTATGATATCCTGATCTTAAGTATCAACTTATATGTTTCAGGAATGTCTCCCAAAACCCCTTAGAGGGAAAAAAGACCACTGATTAGGGATGTAACGATTACCCACGAGCCGGTTGAAAATCGATTCGAAATGTGACGATTCAAATCGGTTGAGATGCTAAACATATCGCGATTCAATTAGGGGTAGGAGTTTATATGAATGTATGTCTGAGGGGAACTTACTGTCTTTAGAAAAGTGTAGATGGTATTTTTTTTCTTTTCATCTTGTCATAAGTGCAGCGCTGCTTTGTTTACAGCGGAAACCAATTGCCTCTAATTTTAAATGGAAAGAGCACAGACAAAGCCTTAGTTTGTTTATATGAAGAGATTTATTTTATTTGTGTTACTTGTTTAATTTTGGGCTTGTTTTAAAATTTCAATTTAGTTTTGTTATTTACATTTACATTATATTAAAATGTTGTCATTTAGCAGACACTTTTATCCAAAGCGACTTAAAAAGGAGGACAATAGAAGCAATCAAAACCAACAAAAGAGCAATAATATGCAAGTGCTATATTAGTATATTATTATAGTGTTATATTTCAATTTCACAAAGACGCGTGCAGCATTTTGTCCAAGCAATAATAAAAGGACACATTTCATTTATAATTTGTCTTAAATCTCATTTTGTTAAAAAAATCGTGAATCGAATCGAATCGAATTGTGAAATCAAAATCGTGAATCGAATCGAATCATAACTTGAGTGAATCGTTACATCCCTACCGCTGATTGTTGTACATTTTATAATTGCTTTATATTAAGTGAAACACAGCTATTAAACTGGTGTTTCACATCATAGGCGTTACTATATTTTGTATTTTTGCACGGTTGGAACACTGTATTGACCAATCAACATCCAGAATCAAAGCTACAGTATGCATATTATACTACAGGATACGGGTGCTTCTCAATCAGAAGGTTGCATCCTAGTAGGTTCAACCATCTGCGACATAATCAGCTACCATCGAAGGTCGTCTCAGTTTGAAGGATCCCGTTTTGCATTTGCAATTGTGCATATTTTTAAGGGTGTATCAAGCATACCGTTGGTGTCATCCAATCACCCACAATCCTCTGCACACATTCCAATTAATAAAAATAAATAAATAACTGGCAGTATTAAATCGGCACTGAGCTTGTCCAATTTCATTGTAATGCAATATTATTATTATTTTTTTTTTATGTATTGATAATGTTTTCTCCTGTTTTATTCTAAATCACATAATACTAATTTAGCCATGATATAAACCCCTGGGAGACCACCAATGGTTGTCATTCGCTGTGTTGTATTAAGAGAAAGTTGGTTCTGTCAGGACCACTATCGTCAAAGATGATTGACAATTAGCATACAGTTTGGATTGGGAACTCCCTGTGCATCCATGCAGCCTAGCAAGGATGAGAGCAGGGAGAGCAGCGATAACCCCCCCAGGGTAAACAGAACAGAACCAACATAAATGTATTGCAGATATCGTTAAAGTTCAATAATTTTATCTACACATTTTATAATTAGTCTGATTCAAAGGAGAATCAGAAGGCTGAATCCTGACTGACAGAGGAGGAGTTGGGGATGGAGGAGGGTAATTAGCTATTGAGCAATGTGAAAACTGCTGATAATACTGAGGGACCTTATATATGAATGCTTAGATAGGTGTCGTATTCCCATAGGTTGATTGGGATCAGTTGAGAGTCAGCTGATGCGAGCTTGACTAACGTGACCTGCCAGAACTAACGCTACGCTAGATTTAATATAAAGTATTTTCCAAAAATTATTTTTGTTACAGTATTTTCATGCCGTAACCGTGTGGGAGGCAACCTTTATGACATAGCCATGTGGACTTTGTGTGTATTTCCTGTTTAAAACTGCACTAATAAAAACGTAATACATTTATTTAATACTAAGTATAGTTCAAGTCTATTAACATATTTACTGAAATATTGATCGAGACTTAATGATAGATATATAAACAAATCTACTTAAACTTTATTTTACTTGTGCTTTATTTTACTTTTTTTACTTGTGCAAATTGCGCATTTTTAATATTAAGCCTAAAATGTGTTTTATGAGGATTGTATGATCTTTGAATAATATCAGTCTTTAAATGCAAGATATTTAAAGTGTACCCGAAGTATAGTTCCACTTAAATATACTTCAGCATATATTTAGTTGGACTTCAGCACTACTTCCGCACAATTAAAGTGCAGTAAGTACAAAATTAGTTGTTGCAATTTAGCAGACTTTAAATATACAAGTTTAGTATGCCAAAAGTGCAATTGCAGGTTTTTTTTTTTCAAATACATAAATGCATGCATGTAAATGTCTTTGTAGGCTAGTATACTACTACATTTAAATGAAATAAATGTATTTCAAATACATTTTAGTATATTTATTTTTCACTAGGGTGTTTAATACTGTGGAAATGTAATGAGTGATGAGATTGCAAATGAAAATAACATCACTTTTTCTCATTCTCAGGGTCTTTCACAAGTGAAGGAATTAAAGCGTCTGATGTCCTCCCTGTGCTGAGAGAAAAAGTAGCGTTTGTATCAGGTGAGTGTGAGATCTGTGAGATGTTTTGAGTGTGAGTGACAAAAAACAATTTCACAAATCGTTATTTGCTCACACATTTTGAAAATGACTGATGTTTGACACTGAGCCTTTCTCATTTGGCTCTGGTGTTGGTGGTGCATCCAGCTACAGCACATCCAGATCTGTAATGATCGACATCCTGGCACCCAGTATGTTTATTGGGTGAGGGGTCTGTGACTATTTGTTAATCTAATGAATAACTGATTTGTTAAATCTAATGAAAAATGGCGTGTCTGATTGGTCCAGACGCTACAAGCAAATACTTAAACTAATAACAAAACATACTTACAGTCGCTGATCCAGAAGCGCCAGATTGTCATAGCAAAGTTGGAATTGACCCTTTTTTTTTAGAAATAGTCTTTGTGCACAGCCAGCCTTGTACTCTTCTAGGTTAAAAAAAATTGTCGTCCATAAAATGCGTTGCACAAATTCGAACATCTGGGTTGTGCTGTTCTGCTGTAAATAAATCTTAACCAATGATTCCTAATTGCATCTACTTCCGAAAGGCCAAATAAAGTGCGTTTGCTTTCGCACTGAAACACAGCATCTCACTGACATGGCTGCATCAACACGACTGCTGTTCCTGAAACCACGCCTTCTTTCTTTGCGTGCACATTTGGGCGGCATTATGCTAATATTTCCACATCGTGACATAGATATGTGGGGGCGTGTTAGAACGAGCCGTTTTAGATAGGCGTGGTTGACTCTTAACTTTTATAAATAATATCTCTTTGGATTTGAGACTTTAGTCTTTGCAACTTTACAGATCTTCTTTATGCAAGAGCTTGTAACACTCCAAAGAGAAAGGAAAACGCATCATATGACCCCTGTGGAGGGGTTTTCTCGAAACTTCACAGATTTCAACCTGCGGCTCTTTCACATGTTAACAGCTGGCTGAATTTAGTGAGCTTGTTCAAGCATGCCATGAAGAAGTCAAAATATTGGATTTGAGGCACAGTGATTTGTGTGCTATTTAATCTTGTGAGATGTGAGATACAGCAGCCATCAAATGCCTATAATGCAACCACTGTCTGTCCGTCTACAATAAAATTTAAATGCTTAGTGATGTGAAACTGCCATAATGAGCTTTGTATGAGTTCTCTCTTACCTACGTGTATGAATGAAATCAATCTCAAAATCAAGGTGTTCAGGACACTTTATTTAAGGAAAAATTAGGGATTAATCTCTAGGTGTGTCAGTGATGATTTCTCAGCACAATCTCTACCTGTTTTTTGCCTTCTTCCTTCCTTTCTCTCATACACATTTTTATAATGGATCCTGTTCTCTAGCCCCCTTTTTCCCACTATTTCCTGTAACTGCTTCTAATGAAAGTTAGGTATAAAAGTTTAGTAAGCCTAAATATGAGCAATAGTAATAGGAATGTAGTAACGCTTGCTATAGATAACACTCATGATGCTACCTTCAAAGACGTATTTAGGCCATCATAGAGATAGTATGCAATTTATGGTAAAAACTGGCAGTTGTGGTGGCTAGAAATTAACCATAAAAAAGTATGGTGAAAATGTTTTCAGTATTACAGGATGGCATAATGATGCCTGTATAACTCACAATGTATAACCGTATGTTTCATTAAGTGATATAAAGTTAATTTACTGTCAAATGTACAGATAGCATTTGCTTTTCCTCCCACCTCATATTATTTCCATCTCAAAAGTGTACCCAAAGTTTCTCAGAGCAAAGCAAAAGTCTTGCAAGTGAATGCAACATTTCTCAGGGGAAGAGAACGAGAGAACGCAAATGTGTTCTATAATGTTTCATTCCATCTCATCTCTGTATATTTATGATGACAAAAAAAAAAAAACTTTTAAAATTTAAATATATGTAATGTGTCACTCAGGGACTTCTGGGAATGTTCTTTTACTATGTTTAACAATAAATAATACAATGATTCATAGTTTGTACTTCCAAAACACATAATAAAATTGCATATGTTAAACGATTTCCTTTTTTTTTTTTTTTGCAGGAGGTCGTGATAAGAGAGGTGGCCCCATCCTGGCCTTTCCTGCCAGGAGTAACCATGACCGAATAAAACAGGAGGACCTGAGACGACTCGTAACGTACCTGTCCACTGTGCCCAGGTGAGCTTAATGTTAATGTGTGGATCAAACAAACTGCAGAGCAGACTTGAGCATTATGGATGTAAATGTGTCTTTATTCTGTATAAACGGGTCTCTGCTCTGCCCTCCTGGGCTGTTTTCAGAGCAGATAGTCTCAGCTCTTGCGTTACAAGAATCATACGGCATAGTACAATATTAGTCTGCATTATGTATCTTATTAAAGGATCACAGTGTAAAATATTCACAGCGCAGGAATTTGAATAAACTCTGCCTTACTGTGGTTTTGTTCTCTATGCTCCTCACTGAGAGAATTATTCAAGAACAAGCATTTACATTCCCACAGTGAAAAGTTGTGTTTGTAAAATTGGAAGTTGAATAATAGCATAACTCTAGTTCGACATGTCTCTGATTAGCTATGTTGCTGGGTAATTGACATGATATGTCTAAATCTGAAATGTTTATTATTATACATGCACGCTCATATTATCTAGTGTACTTTTAAAAATGAATCTGTACAGTATTTTCAGGTTCTTATGTAAATGCGTATTAATTGTAGCCTGAAAATATATGGACAACCTAATAATTTAAACCATAAAATTTTAAAGTTCTTGAAGTAATGGATTTCAAGGATACCCAGGTACCTTAGCAACCGCATAGCAACACTCTAGCAACTGACCCGGGTACCTTAGCAACCGCATAGCAACACCCTAGCAACCAACCCGGGTACCTTAGCAACCGCATAGCAACACCCTAGCAACCGCCTAGAATACCCTAGCAGCCACTCTGAGGTCCTTAGCATCTATCTATCTATCTATCTATCTATCTATCTATCTATCTATCTATCTATCTATCTATCTATCTATCTATCTATCTATCTATCTATCTATCTATCTATCTATCTATCTCACCCTTGCATCCACTCTGAGGTCCTTATCATCTATCTATCTATCTATCTATCTATCTATCTATCTCAGACTGTATTGCCTTTAAAACATTAAACCATTAAACATAAAACTTTTTTAAACTTCTTAAACTTTTCAAACTTTTTAAAGGGGTGGTTCATTGAGATTTCACTTTTTTAACGTTAGTTAGTGTGTAATGTTGCTGTTTGAGCATAAACAATATCTGCAAACTTACGAAGCTGAAAGTTCAATGCAAACGGAGATATCGTCTTTTAAAATTCTGGCAGTTTAATGAGGTTTCAAAATCAATGTTCAAAAGCAGCGGTTCTCAATACTGTTCCTCGCGTTCCCCTGCTCTGCACACGCTCTGCATCGCTCTCATTCAGCTCAGCTCCAACAATGAACTGTTCCAATTATACACTTATTTTCACATAGCTATGAGAAGCATTAAACATGGACGCGCATATGGTTGCTGTACTGTATTAAAGCTTTAATCAGGATAAAACTGTATTTTGAAAGCTAACATAAGCAGTAGCATTTACAATAGCGTATCTAAAAGTATGAGACAACAACAAACAAAAAACATAGGCCTACCATTAAAAGCCTTGCTTGCACAGGTTCTGAACGATCCTCTTCAATAATATTGGACTCAAACTGATAAGCGATATTAACGACGCCTTGTTTACAATGCAACCGGAGCACATGCCGCTGAGGTGAGGGGTGGGACGTTTAGATGCGCACTAGAGACGGTTGAGCCAATCACAACACACTGGACTAGCTAACCAATCAGAGCCCATCGCCTATTTCTGACGGAGGGGCTTCATAAAAGAAGGAAAAGATCAGCCCGTTTCTCAGAGAAGGGACAGAGAGGTGTGGAATAAAGGTAAATTATGTGAAAAATAATGCGTTTTTTTTTTAAACGAAGCATTAACACATGTTAGACTGCACCCCATAAACACAATCAAGCCTAGAAAAAACCCAGTGAACCACCTCTTTAAACTTTTTGGTCCGGCTTTCTCAATCCAACTTAAAATTTGTCTTGACAAACTTTTTAATCTAGTTTAAACCATACAATTGTAAAATTCTTGAAGTAATAGATTTCAAAGATATTCATTCATTCATTCTTTCTTTCTTTTTTTATTTGTTATTTGTCTCTTTAAAATGATCTAAATTGCAGCCTGTAAATAATAGTGACAACCTTAAATTCTTGAAAAGTCATGGATTTCAAAGGAATTTTGTCTATTTAGTTAGTTAGCTGGTTGAAGGTTAGCTTTTGTCTCTTTAAAATGATTCACAAACCACTAGAAAAGGCACGGCAGTTCATTGATCTAAAGGTGTTTGACCCCTGAATAGACTGAAAAATAATGACATCGTGTCTTCTGCAGCCTTACTGCTGTGCTCTGTTGTAAAAGTGTGTTACTTGGGTGTATACTTGTTAACATTAATTGAAATATTCTGTTAGAATATTTAGATAAACTGGCTCCTTTGCATTAAATTGTCAGGTCTGGTATTGTGCCAGTGTTGCTTCCGTTTCTGTCTGTGTGTTATAACCGCAGCTGACCTCACTGGGCCACTGATCAATGCTGTCACTGCCCTCAGTTGTCAGCATCAAAGCTGTGAGCTAAGCAGTGAACAAAGATGCACTTAATGTCAGTTTAATTAGGAGGAAGAGAGAAAGAAACTGAAGGGAGGGAGAGCCCCATCTCTTTAAGCCAGTCCCACAAGCCATGATTCATTAGTGTTTTGATGTGTCGGTGCCCACAGACATCTGGGCTTCTGTCCCCTTTAGCTGCTCTTTAATGCAAAACAGCTTTCAGCTTCACGCAGATGAACTGAAAGGAGCGATGCTGGTTCTCTGAGAGGTATCAGTTACCCTGTTTCATGACGTGATGTGTTAAGTGTCTCGAACTTGTGTGTTTAGTATAGGAGGGTCTGCCTGACGTGTTTCCAAAGCATTGTTCCTCCACCCTTTGCATTAACCGGACCCTCCATTCTGTCAACCGAAAGATATCCTCATTAGCAAAGAAGAACAAGTCATCCACATCCATTATGGATGTATAAATATCACAGTAGACACAGAACCCGGCCCAGTTCGATTTCCACTCGGGAGCAGCGCTTGCATCATCAGTGTCGGATGGATCAGCGTAAAGCAGTGCAGGCTGCTAGTTTGGTGAAGAGGGAAAATCAATGTTATTGAGTCAGCTTGCTAACCCCCCTTCAGGCTATGATTCATGCCCTGTGCTTCCTGCGCTGGCATATGATATAGTGTTTGTGACACGCTCTTTTGATTCTTGTCTGCGTTCATGTTCGCCTTAAAATGAGTATTCTGTCATCGTTTGCTCACCATCATGTCGATACAAACCGGCATGACTGACTGGAGCACAAAAAGAGATGTTTTAAAGAATGTAGGCATACTAAAAAAAGCATCATAAAAGTATCCATCTTGTGCTCTACAAGTTCCAAATAGAACAAAATGGTATGGCTTTGGAACAGCGGGTTTATTAGTGGCTAAGCTGGATTTGAAATTAACACCAAACGTGATTTATAAATATAGAGACTGGACAGTTGGCCAAATATAAGATTGGAAAAATAAAATATGGTCAAAGTCGTGAAGTATGAAAATAAAAGTGTCTGTCCCCTCAAGACTGAGAAAGTTTGGTGTAGAAATCATCACATGCAGAATTAAAATAAGATATAATGGCCGTGAATTAACAATTAGTTCCCAAAACATTCATTTATGTTCACATTTTATTCATTCGTTTACATTCACTACATTCAGTTTATGTAGTGAAACAAAACGTCTAATTATCGTCAAGTTATGTTTACCACAGACCTTATATTGCTCAGGAATTGAAAAAAAAAACCCATAGGAAAATCTCAAAGGAACTTGTGGCGAAATGTTGCCTTAACTACTTTGTACTTACATTTAAATGAATCATTTGGTACAATGCACTTATTGTGTACATACATTTTTTTACATTGTACTTATATTTTAACAAATGCCTGCATGTGATTACATTTGTAATTAATTTCTGTAATTACATTTATACTTACACTGTTGACCCATCGCTTACACCTTAACCACCAAACCTGTCCCTAACCTCACCCGTATGATATCCCGCCTCAATAGCAGCAAAAGTGATTTGCAATACAATATGAACAAAATAAGTACATTGTAAATCCATAGTAGTTAAGACCACTTAATATAAAGTGGGACTGAAAAATAAAACAAGAGATGAAGAGGTCTGTGATGGCATTTGGTGAATGTTAAGTTCTTTGTTTTTCTTGAGTTAGTTTGTCTGGGATGAAGATTCGAGGCTGTGTTAAGTGTTTATGTCCAGCTATTGAATTACTCAACACAAAGTCGACAGTGTGGCTTTGGCAGTAGTTCATCCCATCGCAGGAGTAAAGTGTTAGAATTTACGGCTGTTGTTTTTGGCTTGATTCCCACACAGACCTCAGAATGGCAGGAACTGAAAGAGGCTTATATGTGCCATTATGTAGTTCCTAAACACACAGTGTTTTTACTGACTTTCTGTCATCTTTATTTCCTCTTTGAGGCATACGGAAATCTGTGTGCTGTTAATTTTACCGTCACTGAAGCACTGGTGAGTTATTTTTATCTTCCAATCTCTGTGCGCTACTTCAAAAGCATGAGCCAGAAATAGAAGCCGAGCTGTTTCCGCTTAAGCTGATGAGAACAATCCTCGAGGAACATTTTAAATGGTGTCTAAACAAATCCCCCTGTTGTGTTCCAAGATGATAATTGGTAGAAGAGATTCTGAGTGATAGCATTTATATGGAAATTCAAGAGCCAAAGTGGTTTAAATGCAATAAAGAGGCCAAATGTGTAGCACTTTATGGTCTGAAGGACACACTAGTACTCCTGTACACACTCTCTTGCTCTCTTTCATTGTCCTTTTCTCTGGGTCAAGTGACTCATTTAATATGAGTCAGACAGGAATCCTCATCAAAAGTGGCCCACACTCTCAGCGTTTTGTATAAGAAGCTCATAGAAGACAACATTTAGCATTTGAAAAGATTTCAGGACCATTTCAAAGTTTTCATGATCATGTCATAATCCGTTCCAAAAATGTTATAAAGGCTGAAAACTATACA